CCTTTCCTCCTCCTTCCTTCCTCTTCCTCCCGCTGCCTCCGCTCCAGCGGGATGCCCTTTTGTGCCGGGGAAGCGGCAGTCCTTCGGGTGCCAGGCCGGAGCCCGTCCTTTATTGTTCGAAGAACTGTTCAAGCTGTCGTGGGAACTCCACGTTCCTCGGCCTGCTGAAATCCTGGGCCTGCGCTTAGATCGAAATTTGTCCCCCAGGAAGGCTTTGTGTGCCCGGGGGGATGGGAAGGTTACGAGGGATTGACCTGCGCTTAGCGCCTGTGGCTGCCTTGGTGCGTGGGAACTATCAGCTTTAGACCTGGAGAGATGCTGGAAGCCTTAAATTTCGCCTTCGTGGTGTTTGGGCTTTAAATTGAAACTGGAGGTACCAGCATCTGCCTGGACCAGAAAGTTACTCTTAGGCTTTCCAGAAAGTAAAAGTCTTTCACTAAGATCATCAAGGCCAGGTTGGGTGAGGCTTTGGGCCACCTGGTGAAGTGGAGGGTGTCCCTGCCCATGGCACGGGGGTTGGAACTAGATGATCTTTGAGGTCCCTTCCAATCCTAACCATTCCATGATTCTATGATCTGTCTGGATAGGTGTGACAGTGCTCCTCCTGTGCGTGTTAGGAGTGCGCTGCTTTTCCCAAGAAAGCATAGCAATGGTTGTTTGAGTTGGCACTGCCAAGTTTAGCAACATGTAGCGCTGGGTGTTTTCTGCACGCTTGCTAAATTCGTGGGGTTGTTTTACAAGAAAGTACAACGCAGTTGTACTACTTGTGGTAGTAACAGCGAAAACCAGAAAGTAACAGGTAGAAAAACAACAGTGCTCTGTCAGCGCGGTGAGCGTAGTGTACGCCCTTAAGCAGTGCTGTGAGCAGCTGTTGAACATCTGCAAGCCGTATTAAATCATACGTGTACCGTTACGTGTAAGCAACTGCGTGTGGTATGGTGATCTTCAGAAATCACCATGCATGCATTTTTTGGGGTTTGTTTGTTTCTTTCATGAAGATCTCAGTGAATAACTTATGGGTAGGACGAATAACGTTCAGAAAACTATGGTATCTAGTAGCTGCTTTGATACAGATGTAGATATTTTACTGGAACCGAGTGGAATCTGGGATCTGCTAACATAAATTCAGCCATGTAAGTCGTATTCCCTAGAAGTAAATGGAAAATTACTACTGCAAACTCAGTTAATGCATAAGCATTAATAATAACAGAGCCTACGTAATTTACTATATCTTGCAGTTGATGTACTACAACTATATTCTGTATTTTTGTGTGTATGATGGGCTGTGAACCAGCCAGTTTTGATTGAGGTCTAAGTATGTATTTTGTGATGCTTCTGTATTTAAGTAATTTAGGATTTCGTTTCTGTCCCTTCCCCCCCCCAGAAAATCGTGAGGATATGCTGAGTTCAAAAAGCAACAGACTGACAGAAGCTTTGGAAGAAGCCAATAAACTGTTTAGTGGAGGTAAAACAAATTCTGTCACCCTTATTAGAGGTGTTTGCTTGGCAAGTGTGAGGCCACGATGCCTTATAAACAAAAAAAGGCAAGGGAATGAAATTGAGGTCCAAGTACTTGATCAGAATTTTCAAGTTTAACTTGAAATAGGTATGTTTAGTTGAAGAGAAACTGTTTGAAAAAATTGCTATGAGAAAATATAGTTACTTTAGTGTTTATTTGCACTTAGAAATACTCCTTGCTATATCTTGCCTCTGCAGAACGATGTATGTGAGTAGTACATGTAAAAGATATTAGTGTAGAGGGGTTCATTTCACTTGGAGAGACGGAAAATATGTCAATGAAAAATGCATTTTATTCTTTAAGATAATGTGTTATTTTTCCATGCTTGCTTTTGTCAGTGTTATCCTCTCCTTTTTTCTCTCTCTTTTTAATGCAAATATTATTGTAAGGATAATGTATGTAATTGTGTTAGAGGTCATTGCAATAAAATGATTTACAAAGCTTGGTACCCAGGACGGTCTGTGTGCTATGTTTTATCGTGGTATTTTTAACAATTTCATATTATTAACATAAAGTCTTTTCTGTAACAGTTTCCTGTGCACGAGAAGCTGCTCTGGATGCCCAATTTCTTGTCTTAGCATCAAATCTAGGAAAGGAGAAGGCCAATGAGTTGCACTCTGAGATGACAGCATTTGATTCAGTAGCATTTGCAGAAGACTTGGTAAGTTCCACTCTGAATTTGCTACCAGTTTTGCCAGAGGCTTGCCCTGTTTGTTACAGAACAGTAAAATAAAAGCCTCAGGTTGTCAGGCAGTACATGACAGTTCTGATGGAATTTAACCCTCTTCTTGTGAATGTCTTTGACTAACGTTCAAGTTATTGTTGTTAATTGTTATAAACTGTGTTAAGCATTTCCAGTATGAACTGGGGGAAATCTAACCTAAAATGCAGACACCTTGTTGCGTTGCTTTATCACAGTTCAGCCAGTTTGTGCTCATAACATGGTCTTTCACACTTTTTTAGTACTCACTGTTTTGTAGTTTCCCAGTAGCTAAGTAGTTTCTTCATCCTGCCCACTCCTTTATTTGCTTTTGGATGGAGTTCTTGAAGCCATGTGTCACTGACATGAAGTGGAAATTTGGATTGCTTGTGTGCTTTTAGACTGGACTTGTTTGTCTCTGGCTGTGACTGACTGGAAGAGTCAGTTCAGAACAGCTTTGAAACAGATTCTTTTTTTTTTTTTGTCCTGAAAATTTTCTCTTATGTTACTGTAGATTAATAAGGATTCAGAGTCTTTGATCAAGTCTAGAGCTCTGCAATATAAAAACCCATCAAGTTCAATTGTTTTATTGAAGTGTTTTCCTGGAGAAGTCTGGATTGGTGGATGCAGGGTTGGGCCAAATAAGTTGTTTTATGGTATTTGAGGAGCTAGGCTTCCTCAAAGTGTATGGTGTTCAGAAACTGTGAGCTGTGTTAGCTTTATAGTGCAGTTTTTTTGCTGCTTCATACATCACTGAAATTCTGTTGGAATATAGACAGTTTTATTTACCTATAGCTTTTTTTTTTCATTGCTTGCTGAACACAAGTCTGCATGTGAGTGTTTTTCTGTTTTCATAGTATCTTCAGGAAAGTCAAGGTTCTTATGTGATTATATTAAATATTAATGTAGCAGGACAAACACTGTAATATAGTATTTCACTGTTAATGTATCTACTAATCTTTACGTGAGTTTTCATTGCAGCTTTCTTTCTTTTGTAGCTAACCTTCATGGGTATAAATCGCATAGAAGTAGAAGAAAATAGTAGTGATTCTGAGGGCATTTCAGGTGGCTATTTACCTAGTAATGCCTGGCATAAACTGGGAGAAGAAGCAGAAAAGTACTTCAGAAGAGCACCCACTTTTCACTATATGTAAGTTTAAGTAAGGAAATAGTATATGTTGCAGCACAAGCTAATGTCCTTAATTGACTCTTATCTTTAATGCCCTGGGCTTGAACAGAGTTTGATCTGGAGTCACAGAGTGTCAACAAGAACTTCTGTGTGGTTTCTGTTCTTATGGTACAGTGAACTCCTTGTCTCCAAAATATTTCATAGTATTTCTCTCTTTGATTTTGGTGTGGCTGGAATACAAAACAATATCCCTTGTATCTAGTAGACATGGCAAGGTATTCTTGATTTACCTGTTTCAAACCAAAACCAGTAGAAGTGTTCCTTTTTCCTTTAAAAGCTGGCTCTTCCCTTGTCTCTACAAGCTGCAGCCAGAACCATGAATAGAGGAACGTTTTTTCTTTCACCTGAGGGTTGTATTACTGTGAAGAGACCAACAGTTGCTCTTGCTCATCTGTTTCAGTGAGTTGTCTCTTAGAGTCTTGCTTTCTGGCTCTGCCTGCAGAAGAATTCACCTGATTACTGGCAAGCGGCCCTGCGTAGAATCGGCGTCATCTCTCCTTAGGCGTAGGCAGCCCGTGTAGTAGGAGCCTTTCCAGCTGCTGTCCAATAACCCTTGGTCACCTGAGTGTTAAGTTGGACAACACTCCAATTCCAGTCTCTCATGAAGTCAGCCTACAATAGCAGGGTCTGGTCCAATTCAACTATCAAGAGTGGAGCCAACAGAATGTTGTTCAGTTGTCTGTGCTTTTGCGCTTGTTCCACCCCCTGTAAGTGTAAGGAAGTCGAGGAATGCAACAACTGGAGAGTACAATATCTGATGTTTCATGTTGGATAGCTAATTGAGATGTTTCAAACTTGTGTTTGCGCTTTGAAGCTGTACGCTCTAAGCGATAAGTATGTTTTCCAATCATTTTTATAATCTTCAGGCAAAACTGACTGCAAGAAAGGCTTTTTGCCTCATTAGTTGCATTTTGATGTTTTAAGGAATGATGGACTTCTTTTGATGGACGACGTGTGAATATTAGCAAGTGTTAATTTTAAATAATAAAGCGTAGTCCTTGGTTTAGGACAAGAACTACTTATTTCTGACTCCGTCTATTCTATCTGAGGCCTGAGGGTTGTTTTTTTTTTTCAGTCAGTCCATGACTTCTGAAATTGAGCCATCACAACTCAACCACGATAGGGAAAAAGATGTGCTGCAGAATTTTTGAGTACCTGCTGAACTAACTTGAATTGAGTCTCAATTCGCACTCTCTCCTTTAGGCATCTAACTTGGTGGAGATTCAAGGCAACCAAAGTTAGGAGCCTAAGTTCCTTATGTAGTCAATGGAGAGAGGTAAGCACTTCCAAGAAAGTGCCTAAATCTAGCACGTATCTTACACTCGTGTTATTTAATGAGAAACTTGAAATCTCTTCTTAGTAGTGTACTGAATGTTCTATTGATGGACTATATTTTCAAACAAAATTTGTGTTTGGTTTGTTTTTGGTTTTTTTTATGAAAAGCTTACTGCAAACCTGACCTTAGGGAAACTAAACAATAATAGAAAAGGAGATAAAGATTGTATGGAGAGAGTCTTCAGGCAGAAAAGTTTGTAATAAATTCAAATGGAAATATTGGAGGATACGAACCAGATACTCTGTTTCATTTCTTAACTAGTTTTAAGAAAAGTAGATTTAAAGTTTTCAGTTAAAAAAAAAAATTGGAATAATTGCATCAAATTTTATACATCCTGTTGATAATTCTGGTATGAGGCTGCCAACATGTACTGGGAACGACATTTGGGGATAGTTGTTTACAGACATCTCTAAAGGTGATCGACTTTGGTTTTAGATATCAGTCATTACTTTGCACTTTTATCAGGAGATAGCTGCTCAGTATATAGATTTCTCAGCATGCAATGTAAAACACATTTCCATATATATGTTCTCTTTATTTTGGTTAGGTTGGGATCCTTCAAGTCTGATCCTCCTGTACCAAGGCAAAGGATTGAGAGGCATAAAAAGGCTACAGGAGGAGAAGAAAAGCGGGCAATGCCTGCCCAGGTTTGTGGAGTGTTACCTTTAATGATGACTTGGTATGGTATAGTTATTACAAGTGACTTTTAAATCTTTCTGTTCATGTTTTGGGGTTTGTAGTTATGAACTACGTAGTCTAAAGGATTCAGACTTAATTATTAGGCTTCCTACAAGAAAGACGGGGAGAGGCTGTTCAGGAGGGCCTGTTGTGATAGGACAAGGGGTAATGGTTTTAAAATAGAGGGAGGTAGATTCAGATTGGATATTAGGAAAAAATTTTTCACCATGAGAGTTGTAGAACACTGGAACAGGTTGCCCAGAGAGGTGGTGGATGCTCCATCCCTGGAGATGTTCAAGGCCAGGTTGGACGAGGCCCTGAGCAACCTGATCTAGTTGGAGATATCCCTGTTCCTTGCAGGGGGGTTGGACTAGATGACCTTTGAAGGTCCCTTCCAGCCCTAACCATTCTATGATTCTATGATTTGTTTTGTGTGGAATGCAGTATTTCATTCAGTGGAAGGAAGTAGGATTTACAGACTGATATTTTTATTTTTATTTTTTTCTTCCCCAAGTTCAAGATAGGTTATTTACTCTGATGCTTATTACTTTGAAAGGGAACAAAAAAGAAACTTCTTTACATTTGCGTGTTTTCAACTTTTATTTAAAAACTATCTAACTGTGTGGCATTTGCACGGAAATGCGGTTAACAGCAGCAGACTAATTAGCAGACTTAAGCAGTATTTTCCCTGCTTTCTGTTTCCCTGTTCTTTCTGTCTTACTGTGGCAGAAAGGCAAAAGTCTGAGAATACTTACAGAGAGGCTTATATTTGAAACTTGGAAAAAATAAACCATGTTGTTATGGGGAACAGCTGACTTAATATGCCGGTACATAGAGGCAAAATGTTGAATATGTCTTTTTAAATACAGGTTATTTCTGAGCAGGTTGCCCAGAGAAGTTGTGGCTGCCCCATCCCTGGAAGTGTTCAAGCCAGGTTGGATGGGGTTTTGAGCAACCTGGTGTAGTGGAAGGTGTCCCTGCCCATGGCAGGGGGGTTGGAACTAGATCATCTTTGAGGTCCCTCCCAACCCAAACCATTCTATGATTCTATGATTCTGGCTGTGTTGCAAGGTGGTTGAAGGGAAAGGGTTAGCTAACAAGAGCAGCAAACAGGTTACTGAAGTCTGTACTTGGAAAGTGAATTTGTTACTCTGCTGCTGCTGATACTTGAAGGATGATTTGGGGTATCCTGGTTTACAGATAATGAACAAATCTGTAAAATCACAAGAATCGTGTCCTTTGGCCATGTCAAGCTTCATGCCTTGACGTTTTTCACACGTAAACTTAGGAACCTTTTCTGAAAAAAAAACCCAAAAAAACATCTTAATGAACTTCCTTTCTATGCTTACAAACTTCTTCAGTAAACTCACAGATTCCACGGAACTACTGGAAAGTAAGAGTAGACCTGTAAATAGGCTCAAAACATACAAACTGTGGCCTGTCAGTTTGATATTGTAAAATGGGAGTTAATTCCCAGAGCACTTTGTAAGTTGTCTTATGTTTGCACAAGTGTGCTTGTAACTGCATGTGTGACACAGAGAGAAATATCATTTATGTGCTCATAAAAGGCCCATTTCATGTTCTTGTCTTACAACAGTTGGTCATTTGAGGTGAAACTATGTTACTTTTTTCCAGTTAAAAAAAATGGAGGAGTCTCATCAGGAAGCTACAGAAAAAGAGGTAGAGAGGATCTTGGGAATATTGCAAACTCATTTTAAAAATGATCGTAAGTATGAGTCAATTAAGCTTTTAAAGCATTATTTTGAGAAAAGGAATACTCCTAACCTTCTACATTAAGAGTGGTTAAATTACAGTAACAAAATGAGGTGAAGTGGAAATCTTTATGTGGAAGGGTATAACTGACTGTATTTTTTATGAACGCTAATCAGTTGCTGTTTGATTGCAAAGTTAATTTAAATCCTGGCCCCTCTCTTAGTAGAGCACGCCGTTTTTCAGAAGGCAATCAAATATCAAAAATCTTTCAGCCTGGAGAAGAGAAGGCTCTGGGGAGATCTTTTAGCAGCCTTCCAGTACTTAAAGAGGGCCTACAGGAAAGCTGGAGAGGGGCTTTTTACAAGGGTGTGTAGTGATAGGACACGGGGCAATGGATTTAAACTGAAAGAGGGGAGATTTAGGTTGGATGTAAGAAAGAAATTCTTCACTCTGAGGGTGGTGAGGCACTGGGACAGGTTGCCCAGAGAAGTTGTGCATACCCCATCCCTGGCAGTGTTCAAGGCCAGGTTGGATGAGGCTTTGAGCAACCTGGTGTAGTGGAGGGTTTCCCTGCCCATGGCAGGGGGGTTGGAACTAGATGATCTTTGAGGTGCCTTGCAACCCAAACCATTCTGTGATTCCGAGATTCTATGAATATTATCTAGAAACTTTGTTTCTTCCTGCAGGCAACTGTGAATTCAGCATTGTAACTAAATTGACAGAAACATTCAGTGAGCTTTTGAAAGGAGTACTGGCTTGCTTAAATCTGTGTTTACATATATTAGCTCTGCGTGTACCACCTGTTTGTTTGTTTGTTTGTTTTAACAAATGCATTTTTGCGTCTCTAGCTGACACACCTATTTCCTTCTTCGACCTTGTGATTGATCCAAACTCTTACGCACGCACTGTGGAAAACATCTTTCATGTGTCCTTCCTCATAAGGGTAAGGCATGACGTGGTTTTGAAATCTAGTTTTGGATATTGGAATTATCTAGGAATATTGATTTGTTGGGTTTGTATCTTTAATATTGACAGATTGAGATTTAAATATTAGGAATCCTGATTTGTTTCCTACGGACAGTCTGTGATATTTTGGTAATTAAAAAAGAAAACACTTGACAGACTAGTTTTTTTTATTAGATTTTTCTACTGCGGTCAATTTACCAGCAAAACAATAGTGAAATTTTTGTTGTCGATACACTCTTCAAAGAGGGGTTCTTGCTCACATTATCTGAGGTCATAGAAGAGTCGTTACAGCATTATTGAGGTTGTAGGAAAGTATGTCAGTGCAGTGTTTTATGTTCTTTTCCAATCTGTAGATTTGCACTTCAAACTAAGGTTGTCTAATAAATAAGATGAATTTGGGAAAAGAGAAGAACTTACAAACTTTTACTAAGCTCAGGTTTGTAGCGAGTAGTGATGTGATGATGAAGGGTTAATTCAAGTGTATTTAATGAATAATAATGACTTTTCATAAATCAGTTTTTTAATAATCTGATAGTTACCAACTGTCCCATATCAGCTGTATTCTTTATGAATAAGTGCTATACTTAAATAATTTTTCTTATTTTGCGTGCCAATTAAAATTCTTTATCAATATATGTTCCTGTTGATGGTTATGTAATGTATTAATTAAAACCATGAAATCTCAGTGCATTATCCTAATTAGATAGTTCTAATTTCTGAAACTTTAAATCCTGCTGTCTTTTAGGATGGTTTTGCAAGAATAAAGCTGGATGAGGATAAATTGCCAATCATAGGTAAAATCAGCTTTAAAAGACTATAATTGGGTTTTGTTACAGCATTGAAAAGCAGCTGCATCTTATGTGTTTACAAAGTTTTAGGGATATTTTTAGCTGCCAGAGTAGAGATTTGGGGATGTGCAGTGAGTGTAAGTGAAGGCATGAAGAGATTTCTGAGTGACTGAAAGGACTGAGTCTCTTGAAATACCGAAACATGGAAAAAGGCCATTATGCTGATCCATACAAATTAATTCTATTCATAGAAGTAAAAGGTTATTACTTTTCCTTTGAAGTGATGTTTTCGCTAGTAAGTGTATGAACATTTTTACGCTTTGCTGAGAAAAAGATATTTTTGTGTGCAAGAAGTCTCCTTTGTCTGAGTTGGGAAGTGCTGCAACGTCGGGAGTTGAGAGCTGGAAAGGAAGTGCCGTCCTATGTGCGAGGTTTCTGGCTTTCATTCCCACAGGATATCAATGGGATTAAGATTTTGATGAGATTTCATAAAGGATTAAATATTTGGGTCCTTCTGGGACTCTGAGAAATGTTAGTCTCTAAATTTGTAGGAGGTGAGATTAAAGAGATTTTTTAAGCAGCACATGGTACAGGCTGTTGAGAGAGACTTAGTGGAGTACATGTAATTGATTTGCTTTTTGTGAAGCTGTTATGTTCCTGGAGGAAACCGGCTTTACAAGTGTAAAGACTATGAAAATTCCTAAATTTTGAACAGAGCCTTCAAAAGACTATGAGGCAAAGGAGAATGACGGTAGTGCTGGAGCACGGAACCAGGTTGTCATCTCTCTGAACCAGCAACAATGGAAGGTATAGTAGATAGCACATGATACTTCGGATTATTAAGGATCTTATTATCATATTCTCAAGGATGCATTCTTGTCTTATTAAGGATAAGAACGCATCTGAGAGCTGTGTTGTTCTGTACTCTGATAAGTATTCCTGTATATATTATCACTACACTTAATTTTATGAATTCCGGAACAATCCCAAATGTAGTGAATGCTTTTAACTGCAAGAAAACTGAGAATTGGGATAGCAATTTCATCTTTGATCCTTGAAGCCTGGTCAGTTTAAGCGCTTTTAAGTTATGCAGTGACTTGTCTTTACTGTTTTATATGAGGACTGCACAAGTATGTAATCTCTTTCTGCCCTTATATATGATATGTGCTTCTAGAGGGGAAGTTCTCCATACAATTTCCTCACTGCTGTTTGTAATAAATCTTGGACAAAAAGTATGGGGTTTTTTTAGCATATACAACTCTCCTCCTTTGTCTGTCACTCAGAATGTGCAGAAGAAACTTAGTAATTTGAAATAACAGTGCTTTAGTATGAGAAACAGTGGTAATCATAATTACATTGAAATAGTTCACCTCTTGTAACTGATGTGCTCTTGTTGTCTCTGACCAGGAGATCGTAGAAACATTTGAAATAACAGAACCCATGATTAGCCCTCCTTGTCATAGAAGTGAAGATGAAATGGAGACAGATTAATTCTTCAAGTAAGTTCTTGTAGTAAATCAAAGTAAGGATACAATGCATGAGTTCCTGATGCATGTGGAAGAACTGCAGGGAAACTACCTGTGACTTACAAACCATAGTAGAAAAACTATAAGCAGGATAACTGTATAGTGTCTAGAACGTGTCTATATTCTTGATCTCTTCATGGAACAAAATGTCATCTAGTCTTCTATGTAGTAATTAACTGAAAAAAAACCGTTATTTTTACATTTGATGATCAGTTAAGTGATATGGTTGAGTTAATTTTTGGAACTCGGTACTCAGAATGAAATGCTGTGAAGAATCATAGCTTAGTTTTTGTACTTTTTTTTTTTTTAACCTACTGACATATGATGTTGTTAAGAGTAGTCTGAAGAAGGACGTAGGGAAGCAGGAAGGGAAGACGGCCTGGTTCCCTCTAAAGTCCTTGAAACAATAGGATTGACTTATTTTGTTGTCACAGTTGTTTGTTACATTCCAGATCTTAATGCATATTGTCTTATTGTCTTCACTTTTCTTCTTTTCCCCTAGGTGCCTTAAAGAAAATATTTTAAAATGTTTCCTTCGGAAAAGATTTTATATGTATATATTGTAAAATTAAATTTATTTTTATTTGAACATCTCGACTCTTTATATAAGCTGTTTTGTTTATACCTGTCCCGGAGTTGTTACCATATACTTGCTATTTATTACGGCTTCGTTTACTGCTTTATATAAGTTTTCTGAGACTTACAGTCTTTCATAGAAAGGAGGTGCTGTCCCCCTTCTTTCATCCCATGTCTCTCACCAAGAGCATGTGGAGTTTACACGGTTAACCATCTCCGCTCGGATAATATTGTTATATAAATGGTCTTGGGTGCTACAGGAGAACAATTGGTGTTGTCTCTTCCTCTTCTTACTCTGCTGGAAATCGAGGTTTGACTTTGGAAATTTGGTCTCAATTACGGATTAAAATTCCTCCTTCCTTTTATTTTTTCTCAAACCCATCACGCGCGTTTGGTTTTGTCCCTTAGGCAGTCCAGCCATCCTAGGCCATGGAAGTATTTTCTGCAGAATG